ACTGTAGACAAAAGATCAACATATCTGTAGACAATAGATCAACAAATATGTAGACAATAACACGAGGGATATTGACACCTCCATCACAGGGTGTGCTAACGACCAAACCCCCTGTGTCACTCGCGTCCGCTTGTTATATAAAATCTACGGAAGAGGAAGCTTACAAAACTCACTATAGACAAATCTGAGTAACGAATTCCTGCCAGTATAATTCCTTTGTAATCAGTGCAGAGTGAGTGTTGTTTTACGCCGCAGTCAGTAATAGTCCACCTGTAAATCATGGAGTATTTTCGAGACAAATCGATAATGCGATGAGCTATGCAGGACGCCGATCACACACGATGACCATCCAATACTCATTTCCTGTACTCTTGTGGCGGAATTGACTTGTCGAGTGGTCCATGGGGCACCTAGTACTGTGAAACTATGTGGAACTATTGAACTGGCATTCACGACGTCCTCTACAGCAGTGACAAGGGAAATTGAGAAAATAGGAGAAAACATGTCTCAGTGGAAGGCTAAGGTGGAATGTGGACAGAAAGGGAAAGCACGTAATCTTTTATTGTCATTTGGTATGACGGGGCCGGGGATCGAACTACCGATCTCCTGGTGTCCGGGCAGTATCCACTAAACCACTAGAGTGAATGAGTGAGTTTAGTTTTACACTGCTTTAAGCAATATTCCACCAAGAACAGAACTGGGCTCCATATATTGTACCCATGTTGGGAATCGAACTCGGGTCTTCGGCGTGACGTGCGAACGCTTTAACACTAGGCTACCCCACCGCTCCTGAACCACTGGAAGGCGATCTGTAAATGTGTATGACTGTGTACGTGGGAGCGTCAGATGGGTGAGTTATGCAGGGAACTGGGATGGGGTACAAAACAATGAAGCAAACTAGTGGAAATCAGAAAAAGGGATTAGTGAGTGAGTGCTTAAGTGAGTTTAGTTTTACGCCGCACTCAGCAATATTCCAGCTATATGGCGGTGGTCTGTAAATAATCGAGTCTGGACCAGACAATCCAGTAGTCAACAGCATGAGCATCGATCTGCGCAATTGGGAACCAATGACATGTGTCAACCAAGTCAGCGAGTCTGACCACCCGATCCCGTTAGTCGCCTTTTACGACATGCATAGTCTCCTTTTGTGGCAAGCATGGGTTGCTGAAGACCTATTCTACCCCGGATCTTCACGGGTCAAAAGGGATTAGTAAACGTGGGGGTAGGGGTTTTGAGCGGTCGGGGTAGGGGTAGCAGATGCTGAAAAAAGATAACCAAGGGATACATTCAGATAAAAAAAAATGCCCAAGTCATTGTTTTCACAAAACTACAGTTGATGTACATATATTCACATAAAAAATATATAAACAATTCTTATTTAAACATTCACATAGTTTTCCATAACATCTGTGCCAGTTTCCATTCTGGGTCACATATAAAACCTTCAACAGATGTGTCTCACTCCGAGAACTGAATTGGGTCCAAAGGTTAGGATATACATTGTATGTACAGACTGCACAATATACCACGGTCCAGTTGTCATTTCCTTCCCTTGTCTCTTTCAGTCATATGATTCACATCTGGGTCAGCTATTCTTGATCGCTCTGTCTTACCTATCCGTGAGTTTAGTTTACGCCGCACTCAGCAATATTCCAGCTATATGGCGGCGGTATTCGAGTCTTATATAACAGAGTTGATCTGCACATAAATGACAACCAGTCAGGTACCGATCCCGTTAGTCGCCTAACGACAAGATAGTCGCCTTTTATATACTGACCTATTCTACCCCGGATCTTCACGGGTCTTAATATATGCACATAAAACAACCAGTGGGTAGGATATTAGGGATATTGGTATGATTGATATTTTATCGGTGTGTCAATAAGTAAATAGATCATTATTCATAATTTCAAAATGTACATATATCCCTAACTATTTTTGTCCAGTATATATAAATTCAAAGAAAAAAACGGGTTTGACGTATTTGTTGGAGAAATGTGTGGGTGTTCAATGCTTCACACACCTTGATTCATGTCTATTTCTGCGGTCTAAATCGTGTATATTTCACAATGACAGCGCGTATATTGACAAGTTAAAGAGATATTGTGCAATCGCCCGCGGCAAACATAAAGCAGTCACTCACTGCCATTTGGCAATCATCCACTTAGTCTCTGAAAATATATAATATTGATGGAAACAAATTACTTCATTTAAATTGAAAGGAGCCCCTGTCAGATAGGATATTTAGCACCCGATGAAAATCTAGATTTCACGCTTCATTTAGGGTTTCTAAAACACAGGAAAAGCTGTAAGGGGACGTGGTATGGTTGAGGAACTGTGAGACAGACTTTCCGCAGTCATATGCACTTAATCAGTACTCAATAACCCGACTCTAAATAAATAATAATAATAATAATTGGCTTGTATAGCGCCTAGTTTCCATCATAGATGCTCAACGGCGCTGCATACATCGTTAAAAACACAATAAGTGTGAAAAGAGTTCTATTCAGAAGCCATATTGAAGAAGTAGGTTTTGAGCAAGTTCTTGAATTGTGAATGGGACTCAGTTCGTCTGAGGGTGACTGGAAGATAAACCCTAATTTATCGAATTATCGCATTTCTATGTACTCTCCTATGGAGGAATAAAAGCGTATATAACTGCGGAGAGCGGAAGGTCGCGGGTTCCATTCCCGACCGCGTCATACCCAAAGACGTTAAAATATGGTACTTGTTGGTCCCTGCCTGGCGCTCGGCAGTAATGGGTACAAGGACTGGTCGCCTCGGAGTCAGTATAATGTGTCTGAGTGGGGTATTCATGCTTCACTGCGGCATGGTATCTCAGTGGGCTAGCACTATAAAACCAGCTTCAGTCTGGGCTAGTACAAGCAGCCGCACATACACATACACACGCATGCACGTCGTCATATGAGCGAAATATTCTCAAGCACGACGTTAAACCAAATTTCACCTCACCTCACCTCACCTCTTTACACAACTGCGCGTCACTTATACTCTGACCTCGTCTGGGTATACGGCAAAGTGCGTAACGTGTCACGTGACCGTTTTGGTCCAATTTATACACGATTACATCACGAAGCGCCCATTTAAAGGTGGTGTTGTCATTACACAGTGCTGTATTACAGCAACATCGCCGACGCGTTCAGTAATCCAGTAATTTCTCTGTGTTGTGAGGAATTCCGATACAAAACACCTGTTGCATAGAACTCTCAACAGCGCAGCTGACGTTCTCGTATGTGTTTACATTCTCAGGTAGATTGTGGTGGTAACACGCAGTGCCAAGAGCATGACCAGGCGTGGGCGCTTCGTGATATAATCGTGTATTTGAGGGCAAATTGGACAAAAACGGTCACGTGACACATTACGCACTTTCCCGTATACTTAGACGAGGTCAGAGTATAAGTGACGCGCAGTTGTGTAAAGAGGTGAGGTGAGGTGAAATTTGGTTTAACGTCGTGCTTGAGAATATTTCGCTCATATGACGACGTGCATGCGTGTGTATGTGTATGTGCTTGTACTAGCCCAGACTTAAGCTGGTTTAATAGTGTGTGAAGCTGTGCTTTCTTGTTCATTTCCTGAAGTTGTTGGACCATTGCATTGACCATTTTCACTCACTCACTCAACCACTTGACAAACAATTACGCATTAAGCATAATAATTATTGAATGATATACCGAGGAGTAAAAGAAACTATACGTATCAGCTGAGTGTAATGAATTTTACAACTCAACTGAAAAAAAACTTAAGTTAGCGATAATATATTTAAAACACGATTTAGTTAGTCATGATTTGATTTAAAACTTTCTCTAATTACAACAAAACATTTTCTTATACAGCGCACATATCCACGCAACTAGTACATGCTCAAGGCGCTGGTATTTTTTCCCTCGATCATTGGATGTCAATCTCAACGGCACATCGTATTATCAATCTCAACTCCCTGGGGATCATCTACCAACGGATTCGTGGGTTCTTTTAAGTGCACAGGGTTGTGTACTGTACGCTAGGGGTTGTGACAACACTGAAAGAGTCTGCACACAATGTTGACTCCAAGGTTTACACCCGGTGACAAATGCATAATACAGAATGATAATATGTCACATACTCACACATTCACACACTCACTCACTTCGTTAAGCCGAAAGCGTAAGTTATACACCTCGTATGTTTTCAGCGTGTGAAGCTAAATTCTAGTGTTTATTGCCGTAATATTGCGTGAATATGGAATATTCCTGAAAGCGCCATTGACCACTCTCATTGACTCCATAAACCACTCGATAAACAAGCCACCCAACCATCCAACTATCGTCGCCAATATAAGTACACAAGGACCCAGTGTGATATCTTATCACACTTCGTTTCAGGCCGCTTACATATACATAACGGCACATTAAGCACGGTATGATTGAATGTAGACATGCAAGTGACCTGTCGTTGACCACCAGTCACGTGACCCCAGACACACAGCAACCAGCGTCAGGTCAGTCAGTCATCGTCAACACGTGTGACCTCATTTGTAAGTCAATACATTCATAAACCTCATAGTACCTTCAACATTTATTTTATGATGAAACTGCACTAAAATATAATTACACTTAACGTTTTGACAGACTCTTCGACAAAAATCCAAGTTCTATATTACAGTGATATTTGAGAGCCCCAAAAGTATTGCTTTCCTTTTTAAAATTTTAATGCAATAAATTAGAATGAGTTGCTTTATTTAAAAAGAACTATGAATTTGATGGCACAATAAAAAATATTGTATACACTATTTCGCAATGCATAATTTTTGGGTTAATGTAGATCTATACGTATTTTGTTTGAAAAACACAAATGTAATGTTCTGTCTTATTTATCTAGATAAATAAAAATAACACTGAAAAAAATATTATTATCTACTTTTCAAATATGATGTGCTATTTGCCACTCCAAATGCTTGACATGTATGAGTTTCTGAATCTGTAACCTTCGTATCCCATGACCCGGAAGTGTGACGTCAGCGCACTGTAAACATGGCGTCGAACGGACCCGTTCAGCAGCCAGGAGCGAATGGAGATGTAAAGAACGCGGGTAAGATGATTTTTCAAGTGGAGAAGATTTTAGAAATGGAACGATAATACTTACATACATCAAATTACCATCATCAAGCAAGATTTGACCTAAAACTATCTTCCGGTAGTTAATAAATTGAAGGTAAACAATGAGCAGCGTGGCACAGAGTGTTCTAGTCCAAAGAACATGTGTTGCTGTCTGTCAATGTGTCTGTTGACAGTGGCGGTGTCACGTCTCTCACCTCTGCAGAATAGGATTCTCGTATATTAGAATATGTGTACATTATTGCATTGATGAGTGGCTTGCTGTGTAGCAGATGTGTCATGATTCATAAACCATATTGCCGATCATTGTTAAATCAGTAGTGTTGAATAGCTCATGTGTTATCACCTGTTATCACACAGGGGCCCTCACACAGTAGATCTATATTTTACGGTTATCATGGTGATTAGTGGTTTATCATGTTTATTAGCTTATTAGATTTTTATGAGTGACACATTTAGAACATTTGTTTTATTCTTCATTTAAGAATGACAGGTTAGGATGTGCAATATGGTTGGGCCGAGTTGATGGCATTGTGTATATATTTGTGAATGATGTATTTTGGACTGGAAAATTACAGAAATCTTTAACAAATTTAACATGTTTATACTGGTAGTATTAATCACAGAATTGGTTGTATTCAAACTTAACAAAGCATTCAAAGTGTCCAGGCCATGGGTGAGTAAGTTTAGTTTCACGCTGCTTTTAGCAATATTCCAACATTCTACCCTTGTAGGGAATCGAACCCGGGTCTTCGTCACGATGAGCGAATGCTTTAACCACTAGGCTACCCCTTCGTTCCTACCCCACCGCCCTGTTCTCCAAAAGACTTTGGAAGGTGGTGCTGATGGTGTTAACATGCCTGACGCTTGGCATAAATGATACAAGTTCAAAACAAATAGTCGATCTCAGATTGTTTCCGCAACTAGTATCTTAGTGGTGGTCCGATTAATTGAAATAATCGAAGATTGGTCGCAGTGACTAAACAACCAAGCAATCAATCATGTTTTCTCATAATCGAACACAAACAATTCTGGAACACTTTTTGCATTAACAATATTTTTCACAAGGTTGGTTTTGTCTGTTACATTTCATGAGCACTACAAGCTCGTTCCAAGTCATGATTGAATTTATCTTTAAGACCCCAAGAAATTTATGTTCCCAACATACTAGTCATCCTTTAAAGATGTGCAATTTGCAAAAAAAATAACCCAAAGAACTACATTGTTTTTTCTTTATGTTTTTGTGCAAAGAAAAATAACCAGGAAAATTTCATAAATGACGCTAACCAATTATTTTCGATGAATGATCGGTTGTAATAAACCAATCATCAATTATGAGATTTTCACCAATTCCCAACACTATAGTGTCTAGCATACTGACTCTGCTGTTCTCTTATCAGCAAATAACCATGTTCCATGCCTGTGAAGAGGGCATCTGTTTTAATAGTGTTTTGGTTCTTTCCCCAACATGAACAGAAATAAGTGATGAAATTCAGATAATATAAGGTTAAACAATGATCAGTATTTGAAGTAAAGTGGGCTCCTTAGACCTTTTAGACTTTCATCAGTGAATTTTTTAATCCTTCAGCCCTTGAAAAATAAGTTTTTATGTTTTGATTATAGCAAAGACCGTTTGACCTTCATGCTAACCTCAGATGATGATGAATCATGCTGTAAAGTGAGTCAGCGGGTGTTCGATATCAAGGACAATTATCATAATGACTGGTATGTTAGAAATACAAATGACACCACAACTTAACTAAAGTATTCAGTCATGCTCATCATGTTAATGTAAACAATTAATGCAGGAGAGGGACATCCTGATTCATTGTCACATGTACATTTCCACACAAGTTGGGGTTCTTTTTGGGGGTTGGGGGTGGGGGTTGATGCCGCACTCAGCAATATTCCAGCTATACGGCAGTGGTCTGTAAATAATCGAGTTCGGACCAGACAATCCAGTGATCAACATCATGAACATTGTTCTACACACTTTGGATATGATCACATGTGTCAGCAAGCCTGACCACCCAAACCCATTAGTCACCTCTTACATCAAGCATGGGTTACTGAAGACCAATTCTAACCCGGACCTTCACGGGTTGCATCACATTGATTCATGTGCAAGAGAGAAAGTTTTGAGCATGACCTATCTGGGTTGTTATTACAAAGATTTGTGTGACACATGCTAGTATTGATCTGATTGCTGAGTCATGGTTTTCAGTCTACCGTGCTTCACTGACGTGGTGATAACTGATTTCTGCTCTTAAGTTTCCTAGTCATTAGCACATTTAGCAATAAACAAAACTTTGAAAACATCAGTCTCAAATCCTGTTTCCTAATCAGAGTCACTGACTTGGTTGACACATCACTTCATCCTAACTGCGTAGATCATTGCTCATGATGTTGATCACTGGATTGTCTGATCCGGACTTGACTGTCCGCCACCATATTACAGCTGGAATATTGCTGAATGTGCCGTTAAACAAGCAAACATACAAAGCCTGTCAGGGGTGGACATAACCCATTGCCCGACGCCCGAGTCCAGTGGTTTTTTCTGTCGGGCAAGCAAATTTGTATATCACACTGTACTGGTGTCCAGTTGATATTCCAATATTAATTATGTTGTTTTTTTTAAAAAATCAACAAGAAAACGGCCGGTATAGTGGAAAAATTATCAGGGCAAGTGATTTTACATGTGCCACTGTACCGGAGTACACTAGCAATTTTAAAGTTATTTCCACCCCTGCCTGTACCCTAGAGGGTCAACCACTAAAGTTACTTGGCGAAGTATATTCACCATGCGACTGGGAATGTACAGAGTGACAGGGTCGGGTCACCATGACCTAAAACAGAACATCGACCCATCGACAACTAGGTGCTAACTACTGGCACACTATGTAATATGAATACAAGATCAAAGACTTATTGTATGGGTCAGGTTATAATTGATCTTCCGTAACCCATGCATGTCGTAAGAGGCGACTAACGGGATCCAGTGGTCAGACTCCCTGACATGGTTGACACATGTCATGGTATCCCAATTGTGTAGATCGATGTTCATGTTGTTGATCACTGGATTGTCTGGTCCAGACTCGATTATTTACAGACCACCGCCATATAGCTGGAATATTGCTAAAAGCGGCGTTAAACTAAACTCGCTGAACAGAATTTTAAGGCAACCAAATCTACGAGGGAAGTTCAAGGTCACCTTGTTTAAGGGCAGCAATGGCAAAATGCATATTGTCAGATTATTACCACAGAGATCAACTACGAAAGATGTATTTTATTGAAAGGGTTGTATTAGTCTGTCAACCTGGTCAAGGACTCCTGCAGGGGTGGAAATAACCCATTGCCCGACGTCCGAGTCAAGTGGTTTTTTTCTGTTGGGCAAGGACATTTGTATATCACGCTGTACCGATGTCCAGTTGACATTCCAATGTTAATTATGTTGTTTGTTTAAAAAATCAATCACAAAGAAAATCGTCCGGTATAGCGGAAAAATTATCAGGGCAAGTGATCTTACATGTGCCACTGTACCAGAGTACACTATCAATTTTAAAGTTATTTCCACCCCTGTCCTGCTGTGATAAACTCTGAGCTGGTGTTGTCCACCGTCAGGACAAGGTTCCAGTTTACACTGGTCATGTTGCCATAGCAGCGGTACTGGAATGTCGACATGACCTTCGACCTGTCAACCTTATTCACCAGATCTGGCCTTTACATTAGCAAGCACCTGTTCCACATTTGAAAACCCCACTCGCATATGTTTGGTCATTTGTTTATCAAGGACCAAGAATTGATACATGCTATGGCAGTCTGCTTGACCAGGACTTGACCTACAAAACTGACCAAGAGAGAAACTAGAACAAATTACGGAAGTGGGTGGTTGCATTGGAGGAAGGGTAACAATGGTTAAACCTCACTACAGTTCTGTCTGTGCAAAACTCAAACTCTTCAATACGATCTTGTATTTACTGTATCTACTGTTTCTGTTGGAATTTAACATGTGTAGTGAGCGAGTGAATATGGTTTTACGCCGCTGTTAGCAATATTCCAGCAATATCACGGTGGGGGACACCAGAACTGGGCTTCACACATTGTACCGATGTGGGGAATCAAACCCGGGTCTTCGGCGTGACGAGCTAACGCTTTAACCACTAGGCTGCCCCACCACCCCTATGAGTATTGTAACGTCACTAGATTTGATGTTAGCATGTCACAAATTGTTCAGTTTCATCGATGTCCACAGCAGTATGCACTTTGATGCAGTGGCATTTGTTTGCTGCACCAGCTGGCGGTTCTCGCCTCACATGCCACAGATTTAAATAGGGAATAGGTTTGGTTGAAGATTTTTTGTACTTTGAAACTGCATATAGCAATATTCCATTTATTATACGGCAGCAAGGAAAGAAACAAGTTTTGATCTGACAGTGATCTATAGTTTTAGCATCATCTTGTGTTGTAGCCAGGTCACAGAGCCTTGTAATCCAATCGTTAGCTGTTATGTTGCTTCTTACAAGAAACACGGGGAAATGTGTGATAGGCATCAATGGTCCGGGGAAATATGGACAGATGTAAATGTAGCAGTGAATACGTGGAATCACTATCCGTCAATACTTGTTATAAGATTAACACCACAAACATAACTGATGTCTTTAGTTAGGTTATTGTTACATATGTATTTCCAACATAGTCATAATCATTATCATCATAATGACAAGGATTAGGAGACAACTGTCTGTACCGCCTAGCACTGACTCATTGTGAAACAGCTTGTGAAACATATCACAGAGCTACAGATAACTTTTTGGGGTCATTGAGTTATGTACTCTCTTGTGTTCATCTCATTTGCGTATCCTAAGTTTCCTTTGAGTAACCAACTAAATTGTACCCACCTCACACAAAGTCAGTTGGTTATTTTGCCATTTTTCATTAATTGTAAAAATATAATAAAGTATAAATGTTTTTTATATTGGATCTGTAATATGAGAAACGATAAGAAAGACTGCAAGTTGTCAAGTTCATGTGTTGAAATAGAACCTCGGAATATACCTCAGCTATTTTATCTATCCAAGCTATGATTCGACATTTTTGTGTGTACGCATGTAAGATCAAATTTATTAAGTATTTACAAAAGTCAAGCGTACTTGCACGCAATAGACTTAATAAGAATTGAGTTTTCACATGAATATTTGCGTAATTTACGCAGATACGCAGAATCTGTACCTCAGATATAAGTGCCATTATAGAAAGACTCATCATCATCAGCAGCAGCATCATCATCATCATCATCACAAAGGTCAAGGATTTCCTATTAAAACCCCAATGTTTAGAGTTTAAATTTTTCGGAGGCGCTGAAACAGGAAAACACGAGAGAACAATTCAAAGAACTTTCAAACACTGAACATTACATATTAATATTAAGTATAGGTATATAATAGCTGTATATCATCACTTGTGATTGTTCATGTTTAGAGAACACACCAATAGTTGACTCTGACAGTTGAACCTGTCAGTTCTATATAAATAGTGTTGGAACACCAAAATCTCCATGTCTGTCTATCTTTGTTAAACCGACAAACGGCAGATTGTTTGCAAGTTGAAACTAATCGATATCCTTTCATTTTGGTTTTATGATACTATGAAACTTCATACATATATGTGTTGTAATAATGTCACAAACTTGCAGTTTTCATGTAACCATAGTAACAGTTATCTCTATTTTCTCCAGAAACCCCCACTACTGCTGCTCAGCGTCAAGTGAATCTCCAGAGAATCCGAGATCAGGCACAGGTCAACAGCAGTTTACTCAATTTGCAGCTCATTATTGTTCTCATGTCACTATCATGCTTGTCAGCAGTTTCCGAAACTCCGTCAAGTTAACTGAGAGACTTGTATGGAAAAAGTGTAGGCCCAAATATTTTAGCTGGATTTTGTTGGTTTGTTGTTTAACGCCACACTCAGCAATATTCCAGCAAAGTATATGGCGGCGGTCTGTAAAATAATCAAGTCTGGACCAGACAATCCAGTGATCAACAGCATGAGCATCTGGAGGGACATACTCTTGCAATATTAGTTACAAAACACAAGTATCTGTGTATATTAGAGCTGTGTATCGTGGCCTAAGTGGCAAGACGATATATCCCGATACCAGTTTAATGAGGCGAGACGATATATCATGAAAGTATTGGCAAGGAACATGCAGACGATTATCGTCACGATACAATGGTGGCGATACGACACGTATCCCGATACTTTACAATTTCTAATAATAGAACAGATATGATAGATAAAATGACTGAAACTTTTTTTGTTATACAGCAGAACATGTGTTCCATTCACACTCACTTAAAAAGCTGTTCATCTAATATAGTTTAAGCATTTAATGCTTAAGAAAGTCAAACATGTTCAGTAATCCTTGATCTAATATACATAAATTTGACAGTGAAGTTTCCTTTGGGAAGTTGTGTTTCAACACAAATGCTTTCAGAAACAACTCAATGTATTTATATCAGCATTCAGAATCACTGAAAAGTCCGCTTTCTAAATTTTATCTTCTCTTTGTTCTCCTTTTTAACAAGGCTAAAACATTGTTCATAGTTGTTGATAAATGGTGTTATTTGTCAAACAACTAAAACATATCTGCATATTTCAATTACTTGAAGACAAATATTCTACAGTTCACAGAGTATGTAAAATGTTCTGTGACTTATACACCAACTCCTTTGTTCATGTAACAGAGACAACAGACAAACAAATTCTTTTAAAGTTCAATTTGTTTTTCAAATTCAGAAGAATTTCAAAGAGACTCCTTTCCTATTCCTAATTCTATACTCCTTACAACTTAAGGTAGTATTTAAGTTGTATCGGGATATATTGTCTCTTGTGGCGATATATCGATGTATCATGGACCCTCGCGATATAAATATCCTGATCTATTGCCTAAATGTGTTTTGTATCGATGCACTTGTATCGCGTAGTTGACGATGTAAACTTCGATACTATCGACGAATCGTTCACTAGTGTATATCATGTAATCAACAGGTAGGTCAGCATGACATTGTCACTGAGATAATGGCTGAACAAGTACAGAACGTGTAAGTTGTAGGTTACAGGCATACACAGACTTTACATAATATACCCATGAAGGTCCGGGTTAGAATATTGGCCTTCAGTAACCCATGCTTGTCGTAAGAGGCAACTAACGGGATCGGGTGGTCAGGCTCGCAGACTTGGTTGACACATATCATCAGTTTCCAATTGTGCAGATCGATACTCATGCTGTTGATCACTGGATTGTCTGGTCCAGACTCGATTATTTACAAACCGCCGCCATATAGCTGGAAAATTGCTGAGTGCAGCGTGAAACTCAACTCACTGAACAGAATTGTAAGGCATAATACTGGTAGTTAGTGAGTGTTACATTGTCACAGGTGAGGAGTTGGCCCCTGCCTGGTGCTCGGCATTAATGGGTACAACAAGGACTGGTCGGCTCGGAGTCAGTATAATGTGTCTGATGGGGTATTCAAGCTTCACTGTGGCATGGTATCTCAGTGAGCTAGCGCTATAAAACTAGCTTAAGTCTGGGCTAGTACAAGAAGCCACACATACACATACACACGCATGCACGTCGTCATATGAGCGAAATATTCTCAAGCACGACGTTAAGGTTAAACCTCACCTCACCTCATGGCTACGATCAATATTCCAAGTTGGTAGTGACAGTAGCTGCAGACTTTGGGTTGAAAGTAGCATATATTTATAACCATCTTCTTGAAATCACTTTAGCTGATCTGATGTCCTTGCTATAATACTCTAAAATCAACTTCCTCTTCTCTAAATCATCCATACGGAGGATCACTGAAAATGTCGTCTGCTAGCAAGTAAACAAAGGGGAATAACTCTTCACAAACTAATGAAAAAGGATGAACAGAGTTGTCTCTCTTGAATGAAACCAAGCTCTGGATAGCTGGTCAAGGTTGTTTATACTAGAAATCCAATTAAACATATTCCTAAAATTCTCAATAATTTCTGGTCATACTATATTTATAACCATCCCAGCAAAACCCTTATAGATAAGAACTGGTGAGTAAAGATAGTCTTCCTGTAGTGTCGCGATATGAGATATGCTTGTGTCTGACATGTGTCCAACATGCAAGGTAAGTGTTTCTCATGGAGAAGACGAGGAGATGTGTTTTGCCATGTGACTGATAGAGTTATCTTGAAGATTAGGAAGACTGCACACACTAATCATGTTGACGCGTAAGTTGTGTACAAACTGTCTGCTGTCTTTGCCGAAATGAAGTCGTATCGTGTCCTTTGTGATGAGAAGAGATATTTGGTGTGTATCTATATTCTGTTTTAATGTCATCTTATTTTCCGAATATGTCAGTTAAGGGTTAGAAGACTAACAGATGATGCATTAACTAACTGAACTGTTTCATAAACAATTTCAAGGACTGGCAGTGACAGTCTTATCAGACTGGAATCGAAGCTTAGTAGAAGGTTATTACTAAACGCCAGGTACTCTTGCTCAAACATCTTCTTCAAATTGGTTACTCAAGTTTTGAATGAACAGTGTCTAGTGAGCGAGTTTGGTTTTATGCCGCTTTTAGCAATATTCCAGCAACATCACGGCGGGGGACACCAGAAATGGGCTTCACACATTGTACCCATGTGGGGAATCGGACCCACAATGTCTAGTGAGCGAGTTTGGTTTTACGCTGCTTTTAGCAATATTCCAGCAACATCACAGCGGGGGACACCAGAAATGGGCTTCACACATTGTACCCATTTGGGGAATCGAACCCACAATGTCTGGTAGTGCTGAATGCCTTTGATGACTTGAGTTTTGAAGACAGACAGATATTTTATTCACATCTCTTCGCTGTTCATCTTAAAGAAATATATACACACTCAAGACTTAGTACAATAAGAATATGCTACAGATAAAGAATACAACAAAAGACATGTACAGAAGTGGGGAGTACAACAGTTGTATCAGTGCCGACTAACTTCAGATCTCTCAGCTTATTGTGTTGACAAACCTAATGGATAAAAACTTCTATTATTTTGTAAGTGCACTCAGGAAATAAAACAAGTTGTTATCCATAAATTTTGTCAATATTGTTCTTCCAAACTTCTAAAATGCCTCTTACAGGCACAATGTCATGCTTTTTCGACAATATTTTGGTCTATAATATATATATATATATTATAGACCCCTATATTGGGGCATAGGCACTCACTTTAGCATCCTATTGATGCAATAAAAGACTTATTATCTCTTACTACTAGCCTGAAATTGATAATTGAAACTTCGAGGCGAGCAGCCTCCAAACAGACAGCGCTTGACATAAATGGAATGTAAATGATTGCTCCATACATCGAAAACTGTCGCATGCTGTGTTGTCGGTGTTTGCCTAACTGGTTTCAATCACAAGTTGCATTATAGAATATTCGTAAAGAGAGCTCCAAGGGACATAACTCTAAGGGGTTCGCTTGAAATAATGTTCGGTCAGTAGAGGGAGCAAGAGTCGATTTAGTGCATCATTGCATTAATTCATTTGAGAACCGAACTTCTTAATTTCATATTGTAATCTTAATGCATATTTTTTTTTGAGGAATACGTTATATGGTAGCTTTGCTGGGGGCTGATGCTTAGTACTAATGAGAGAAATGCAATATTGATTTCTAGAGAAGTGTGGCATGATAGTGCGCCTTTAAAAAAGTTCTCAGCTTCTTTCTTCCAGTACTTTCCATGAGAATATTTTATAGTTGTAGGGATTTTCAATTAGGTGTCAGTGTTTCGAAAATTCAACAATTTAAAGCGGCCTTTCTCATAACTCCAATATCAAAGACCGCCTCCGTGGTGTAGTGGTTAGAGCGTCCGCCCAGAGAGTGGAAGGTCGCGGGTTCAATCCCCGACCACGTCATACCAAAAGACGTTAAAATATGGTACTTGTTGGTCCCTGCCTGGCTCTCGGCATTTATGGGTACAACAAGGACTGGTCGGCTCGGAGTCAGTATAATGTGTCTGAGTGGGGTATTCATGCTTCACTGCGGCATGGTATCTCAGTGGGCTAGCACTATAAAACCAGCTTTAGTCTGGGCTAGTACAAGCAGCCGCACGTTACACACGCATGCACGACGTCATATGAGCGAAATATTCTCAAGCACGACATTAAACCCAATTTCACCTCACCTCACCTCCAATATCAAAAGTTAAAGATTTTATGTTATGGGTATTAAATAGTGAAGTTCTCAAGTACTTTGTTGCCCTTTAATACTATTTGTGTAACTGTTTTGAAGGGCGTAAAAGTTTCTCATTTTAGATGTAACATTTCCTCAGAATACCCTTTTCAAAATACTGCATGTGAATTATTCACAACATGAATTATTTTTTCAGCGGTTGAAAGGGGAGCTTCACGAGAATTTGAACAAGCATTTAGATGAATTGTTTGAGTCGTTCGTCGCGGAAGTTGAGCTTATTGAACAAGGCAGTACAAGCAATGGGTTTCCTGTCTCATCCAAAAGGTATTTATCTGCTCTCCATATTGAGGAAGTTGATGATCACAGATGATTAATGCATATTTGTTCACAAGCAATCTGCAAAGAATTAATGTTACTGCTTGTTAGTTATTTCATTGTATGGTATGCTTCATCTGTACAGCAATATAAATATGTCTGAGGATATTTGCAGAAACTTGATTCACAAATCCTTGCATTTAATTCGGTCTTTGCATGTATACTATTCTGAATCTGAATAACAATGCTTACATTTACAGACTATATTACAACTTACAAATATGTTAACAGCATAGGGGCGGTGGGGTAGCCTAATGGTTAAAGCGTTGGCTCGTCACGCCGAAGACCCGGGTTCAAATCCCCACATGGGTACAATGTGTGAAGCCCATTTCTGGTGTCCCCCGCCGTGATGTTGCTGGAATATTGCTAAAAGCGGAGTAAAACCAAACTCAGTCAGTCAGTCAGTGTTAACAGCATAACTACTATCATAGTCCTTTTGGACACTTTTATAGCAACTTAGATATGACACATATTACTATATGTTTCATATATATACAGATTATGTCAGTGCTCAATATTTACAGTAAAACGGGAAGTTTTGTCTTTACTGATAGCCCTGTAACTATGGAAACAAGAGTAACCATGGCAATGCAGATAATGTGATATTTCCTGTAGGTACAAATCAGAATTATGCTTCAATCTAACCGCACTTAATTTTGTAATTTCACCAATTTCTGAGTAAATATGTGAAGGTTTGAATTGCTTGATATATTTTTCGAAATCAAAATTTTGTCAATAGACTGTGAAACATCCGGTAGGGTTCTGGAATAGAATATGTCTCCAACAACCCATGATTGCTGTATAGGGAGACTACATGGAGTGAGGGGCGGTGGGGTAGCCTAATGGTTAAAGTGTTGGCTCGTCACGCCGAAGACCCAGGTTCAATCCCCACATGGGTACAATGTGTTAAGCCCATTTCTGGTGTCCCCCGCCGTGATGTTGCTGGAATATTGCTAAAAGCGGCGTAAAACCAAACTCAGTCAGTCAGTCAGTACATGGAGTGATGACGCTTATTGACTTGGTTGATAATGTTTCATTGTACACTAATGGACTCCGTCATTCTTCATAATATAGGGGCGGTGGGGTAGCCTAATGGTTAAAGCATTGGCTCGTCACGCCGAAGACCCGGGTTCGAATCCCCACATGGGTACAATGTGTGAAGCCCATTTCTGGTGTCCTTGCCGTGATATAGCTGGAATATTGCTAAAAGCGGCGTAAAATTAAACACACTCACTCAGTCACTCTTCGTAATATCAATCTCTGGATTTTCGGGTCCAGACTAGACTGTTTACAGACTTCCATCGTGTAGCTGGAATATTGCTGAGAGGACTTTCAACAACAAACAGCCAACGTACTAACCTCAGAGCTCCAGATAAGATTTAGCTCATGTGGGTACTGTACCCACTGTAATTTTTTGGAGTGGGTATTATGAATGTTGAGTGGGTATTTTTCATTTTCCGTTACCCACTGCTTTCAAATATGTGGGTATTTCAGTCATTTTACTCACCTAAGTATTATGTCATTGAGTAAGTTTACTAAGCAGGTATGTCCTGCCTTATATCATACCTAATCAAAACCAACTTAAATATAATGGAAATGATTTCATAAAAACATCACTTATCCAATACTGACAGTACAACACTTGTCCTATACTAACAGTACAACTTGATAGCAATCGATGTCTTTTTCATTACGCGAGCGATTTTTATAAATATATTCCGTACACATTTGTTTTAAACTTTTTGTGTATCTAACATTTTAAATGCGTAATTGGTACGCAACAATTATTTTTCAATGCGTAATTGGAAATTTTCTATGCGTATTTTACCCGGATCGCAGCTTATCTGGGCCTCTGTAACCTAACCTAACCTGTGCAGTTTTCTCTTTATCTCAGCGTCATAATTAAGGAAGAGTCTCTTAATAAGCAGTATGTATCACCGGGTGGCTTTGTATTTACCCAGGATGCTTCGGTAGTTTTGTTATAACCTAGTGAAGAGCCAAGAAACAACGCCATGAACGTGGCAGCGTCATGTTGCCGTAACAATGCCGTATACACAACGTCAGCTGTTTCCTGAATGATGCCACAGACATAATGTGATATTTGTTCTTCCCAGTAAATGTTGTATACACAATGAGATGGAGGGTTTTACCAGAATATACCTTATAGACTTGACGTGAGCTGTTCCACCAACAATGCCATTGACACGCGACGTAAGAATCTAAGATGCTCACAGAATAAGGCTGTATGCGCTTGACGTAGGGTGTTCACAGAATAAGGCTGTATACGCTTGACGTAGGGTTTCACAGAATAAGGCTGTATAAATGTGACGTAGGGTGTTCTGAGAACTCAAAGACTGTTTAATACTGATTACCATCAGAAAGTTGGCAACCACGAAGTGGAACTTGCCACCGTTTCTCAGCAGTTTCCATTTTTCTGCTTTAGACCAAGATCAATGGTTTATGTTTGAAGAGTCTTTTTGATCTTTTCACTAATGGACACACAGTCAACTGTATAAATTCTGAGGTTTCATTTTGTTTAAGTAATTTCGTGTTTTCATTACAAACAAGCATGACTCCATTTTGTAGAGAATGCTGATTTTGCAATTTCCAAACTTCATGTCTGCTGTGTAACTGATGTGTTTAGTAAACAGAGGTAGGATATTGTTGAACATGGTTGAACACATGTAGGACAGCTGTCGTTGTGACAGATCATGTTTTCATTGTATATTTATCTCAGTGGGTACAGGATACAGCCATCACAGAAAGGATGACCGTAGCTATTGAAAGGGCGAATTACTTAGCACAGATTACAGAATGACTTACTATTTGGAGTTCCTATTCATGGTTTTTCTTCTTTTGTAATTTTCAAATGAAAATTCTGTAGATCACCAAACAGTTTAAAACAGAACTAATAAAAGAAAACTGAATTAATGTGAAACGATCATTATACAATCAAACAAGATTGTAACCGAGAGACAATAATTGTTTTTAAAAGTTACGTCTCAGCTGTATTTGATGCATATGGGGAAAAAATCATCGTATCTCCGGAATTATTAAATTCAAATTGCATGATGCTTATTGCCCAGTGTCTTTTGAGGATTAGTTTCAGGGATATATGGTTGCAATATATCTGAGAAAAGGTCATTAGTATTTTAATTCTGTCACATCCAATAATGAGTCCACTTGCATTGCTTGTGTAGTGGGTTAATGGTTATGTTATGGAAGGTCTTGTATACTGGGTGAATATTGTGTACTTAGAAGGCATTTTGTATGAGGTAGAGACTATGTATTTAGAAAAGTCACTGTGTATTACGGGAATATTGGGTTTTGGAAACGTATTATGGGCTGGATGAATATTGTGTACTTAGAAGGCCTGTGTATTAGGTTAACACACCTTACTAAGCAAAGCATTGTGACTATTTTGCATTGGTATGGTATTGTGTATTTGATGAATATTATGTATTGGGTGGATATTGTGTACCAAGAAAGGCATGGTGTAATGGATGGATATCATGTATTGGAAAAGCATTGTGTATTGGATGGATAATGTGTATCAAGAATGTATAGTGTATTGGATGAATATAGTATATTGGAAAGCATTGTGTATTGGATGAATATTGTATATTCAAATTGTGTATTGATAATATTGTGTATTGGAAAGTCATTGTGTATTGGATGAATACTATATATTGTAAAGGCATTGTGTATTGATAATATTGTGTATTGGAAAGGCATTGTGTATTGGATGAACATCGTATATTGGAAAGGCATTGTGTATTGGATGAATATCGTATATTGGAAAGGCATTGTGTATTGGATGAATATCGTATATTGGAAAGGTATTGTGTATTGGATGAATATCGTATATTGGAAAGGTATTGTGTATTGGATGAATACTGTGTATAAGAACGGCATTGTTTCTTGGCTCTTCCACTGCATGACTAACATGACAGGGACCTGGCCCGGGTGTTTTCACTGCTGAACTTCTCTGCTCAGCATCCTCTAACTTTCCGTATACATACAGTTGTTTAGTTTGTGAAAACCATCAAGGGGAGGTAACTCAGACACTTTGTTATTTCATTATTTCTTTGCACAATTTATGGTATTTCAGAACCCTGTTTGCATCTCCCCTTTTTGCAATAATTTAACAAAACTCACTAAACTGAAATTATGGTTCATGTTTTCAAAGATTTAAGAAGTATTTTGAATTAAGAGTCATCAGTAGGCAGTTTGGGGAAACCAGCTGCGTTACATACATGCTCCCTCCTCAACATGTTCAAATATATGGCATGTGTGAATTCCAATGTGAATTTGAAAATTTGAATTTTATGGCCTGATGCAGATTTGGGACTGAATAATGGCCGCTGATGTGAGCAGAAAACCTTAGTGTTAAAGACACTGAGTAGCTTAGTTTGCATACAGACATAATAAATGGCTATTATTCAGCTTGAAACTGCTGAATTCTCTTGTGATGAAAGGCCATTTATGGTTATTCATCATTATTAAGTGAAGGGTTTGATGGTAAACAGCTGTGCACATTCCTTGACAAACCAACAACCTGCACGTCTGGGCACGTATCAAGTTTCTGTCAGCAGTGGATGTCACTATGTAATAGATGTGATATTTGGAATTACACTTTCTCAGTGAAGTAGAATTTAAGTACTTATATTAGGTGGGATACCATCCAAGAATCGAACCCACATTCTAAGAGTTCAGTGCCAAATCATGAGAACCTACTCAGCAACCAGAAAATGGTTCTCCTGGCAACACACCTTACCAATAAATAGCACCAATGTTCCAGGCAACATGGCATACCAATATCTGGCACCAGTTCTCCTGGCAACACACCTTACCAATAAATAGCACCAATGTTCCAGGCAACATGGCATACCAATATCTGGCACCAGTTCTCCAGGCAACACACCATACCAATATATCATATGGCACCAGTTCTCCAGGCAACATGGCATACCAATATCTGGCACCAGTTCTCCAGGCAACACACCTTACCAATAAATAGCACCAATGTTCCAGGCAACATGGCATACCAATATCTGGCACCAGTTGTCCTGGCAACACACCTTACCAATAAATAGCACCAGTTCTCCAGGCAACATGGCATACCAATATCTGGCACCAGTTCTCCAGGCAACATGGCATACCAATATATCATATGGCACCAGTTCTCCAGGCAACATGGCATACCAATATCTGGCACCAGTGCAAAAAGGGGCCCAAAACCTCAACACACCTTACCAATAAATGGCAGTCTAATAAAGGTAGTCTAGATCATATACATTGTGTTCCTCTCCAATAAGCCATTGCAGCAGTGGTGGCAAAAAACCATTTCCATTACTAAACAGCAGCACCAAATTTTTAAACTTAAACATTTTATTGTTAGTAGTGGGATTCAATATCTGGCTCTGAGCGAGCTGATCTTCGCCACACATGTTTCCCAAGTACGATGTCATCATAATTATTCTTCAGATAATTAGAGTTCTGTTATTTTGCTGAAATTGTTTGCCTTTCCCTGCTGACAATGACTCTTGTTACATGTGTTTCTTTGTTGATTGTCTAAACTGTTGACTACATATACAGGTGAGCTACAGTACAATGGTGCTATTCTTTATCAGAACACCACAACATGATTCAAACATACCTTTATTGTTTTATTATCTATTATTTTGTTCAAGGAAATTATGACAATGTAGCCTTAAGCTTATTCTATTATCATGTGCATCTGTGACATTAGGATCAGAACGGTCTTCATTTGTGTTTTCATGGGGGGCATCTGTTATTTATTTTTTAATATTCTGTTGAAGCTGTAACGACTTTGCACAGAGTTCATTGTTTTGCATCTTTTGTCCCTCAGAATGTTTAATTAGAGGTTCTCCTCCTTGCATGTTACCATGGTTACCTCGAGGTATTAGAGAGTTTTCCCATGCTCGTTGCTTTTGGAGAGGAAACGGTTGGCCTGGTGATTTCAGCAACATGGTCCTGTTTGATGAAGCTGACGTAGCACTACGGCTGTCGTAATTCAGGGACAAAGTAGCAGAGTTACGACAGTCGCAGTGCTACTATCATGCTGTGTTGCCATGGTAACCCAATCACATGGATTGTTGTATAGTGTTTGAAGTAGGGGTTGTCAGGCCTGGATTTAGGTCCCATCTGGTGTGATTTAGCCAGTTCTATATGCTGCACAAGACAACTCTCTGTCAGTCAAGCATGACCTGAATTCCTTGTGGTCGTAACAGAAGGCCCAATGGCCTGGGCCTAGATTTTCAAAGCTCTCTTAACGCTAAGATAGTCGTAAGTTCATGTTAATGTATGGCACTTACGAATATCTTATCACTAAGAGAGCCTCGAAAATCTAGGCCCTGGCTAGCTATTCTCGAACGTTCAAGTTCTAATTCTTAGGGCTTCTTTTGAAGCCCATTCTTAACACATTAGCTACTGCGATCAAAGTTAAAATTCTTAGGGCTACTCTGAACGCTTTGAGGAATAAGGGCCGTCTTATTTCATATGCAGAGTTGTGTCCCTTCAGCATGCCAGGAACCGGTGATCATGGGTTTAAATCCAACATTTGCTCTATTAAGCATCTGGGGCCTGCATCAATTCGGGCTCTCCTCCCACATGAAGCTGACCCACCGTGATATAACTGAAATACTGTTTAAAGTGGAGTTATACTTACCTCACTCACTCACTCCTCCCACATGAAGCTGACCCACCATGATATAACTGAAATACTAACTGAAATACTGTTTAAAGTGGAGTTATACTTACCTCACTCACTCACCTCCCACATGAAGCTGACCCACCATGATATAACTGAAATACTGTTTAAAGTGGAGTTATACTTACCTCACTCACTCACTCCTCCCACATGAAGCTGACCCACCATGATATAACTGAAATACTGTTTAAAGTGGAGTTATACTTACCTCACTCACTCACTCCTCCCACATGAAGCTGACCCACCATGATATAACTGAAATACTGTTTAAAGTGGAGTTATACTTACCTCACTCACTCACTCCTCCCACATGAAGCTGACCCACCATGATATAACTGAAATACTGTTTAAAGTGGAGTTATACTTACCTCACTCACTCCTCCCACATGAAGCTGACCCACCATGATATAACTGAAATACTGTTTAAAGTGGAGTTATACTTACCTCACTCACTCCCACTCCTCCCACATGAAATACTGCTGACCCACCATGATATATAACTGAAATACTGTTTAAAGTGGAGTTATACTTACCTCACTCACTCACTCCTCCCACATGAAGCTGACCCACCATGATATAACTGAAATACTGTTTAAAGTGGAGTTATACTTACCTCACTCACTCACTCCTCCCACATGAAGCTGACCCACCATGATATAACTGAAATACTGTTTAAAGTGGAGTTATACTTACCTCACTCACTCCTCACTCCTCCCACATGAAGCTGACCCACCATGATATAACTGAAATACTGTTTAAAGTGGAGTTATACTTACCTCACTCACTCACTCCTCCCACATGAAGCTGACCCACCATGATATAACTGAAATACTGTTTAAAGTGGAGTTATACTTACCTCACTCACTCCTCCTCCCATGAAGCTGATCCACCGTGATATAACTGAAATACTGTTTAAAGTGGAGTTATACTTACCTCACTCACACTGTAAGCCCCTCACCATGTGTCTATCATGAGTTTTATGTACCGGTAGTATACTGTTGTAATATACATTATGTCATATCATTTTCTTATAACTGCTTATGACCCAATACGCTTAACTTTCTCACACACACATGTATAATATGCAGACATGTAATCAATATGTTTCTGTTTCCAATAGCAACTGTAGCATTCCTGCCTTAAGAATGTTATCTGATAGGTTTGGTCTACTCTGTGGCAACTGGTTAACAAATACAACTAACTGGCTCTAATTCTAAAATGTCGAAGTTAATGTTAGTTATTTCCATTCATGTAATTGTTAATATGTACTTGTGTTACCATGGTGATACCAATTCCATAAACTTTTCAGCAAAAGTAGGAAAGATGGGGATCTTCCAGATAAAGTGTTCGTAAATCGTCGATCAGTATTAACGTGAGTATAAGAGTTGTTGGTTCATCACAGATTCCTCTCTTCTGCCTGGAGCGATGAACATTCAAATCAATTATTCGCCCTGATAAAGATTTTCATTCTCAGATACAATGTGTGAAGCCCAGTTCTGGTGTCCCCCGCCGTGATATTGCTAGAATATTGCTAAAAGTGGTGTAAAACCCAACTCACTCAATCCTTCTCTGATTCTTCACAGACCGCCACCATATAGCTGAAATATTGCTGAGTGGGGTGTTAAACAAAAAACAAACAAATGAAAGTACCTGTTGCCAACATGGTTGAGAATCTTCAGATTGACATCAACTAGTGATCTATACATGAGATTCTTAAATATAAAAGGACCTTTAAGATCTCATCATTTTTGTTGAATTTTGTTTTCAACAGCAAAAATTCACTTTGTTTTTGTATGTGAATTATGCATATGATACAGATAGGATTGCTAATGAATAAATGCTTAATTAATTACATACATTCATAATATTCACAGTGAGAATAAGACTAACAGTATTTTTATTATGGTTTGATTGTGTTCATGAACATCCTGATATACTCTATATTCATGGGCACAAAAATGCGTAGTCTGTTCAGATGTTAATCGACCGCCTCCATGGTGTAGTGGTTAGAGCGTCCGCCCGGATAGCAGAAGGTCGCGGGTTCGATCCCCGACCGCGTTAAAATATGGTACTTGTTGGTCCCTGCCTGGCGCTCGGCATTAATGGGTACAACAAGGACTGGTCGGCTCGGAATCAGTATAATGTGTCTGAGTGGGTATTCATGCTTCACTGCGGCATGGTATCTCAGTGGGCTAGAACTATAAAACCAGCTTAAGTCTGGGCTAGTACAAGCAGCTGCACATACACATGCACGTCATCATATGAGCGAAATATTCTCAAGCACGACGTAAAACCCAATTTCACCTCACCTCAGATGTTAATCATATGAATATATTTATGGTAATACATGGGTCCTGTTTCTGTTTTCAGGGAATTGTTCGAGATCAACCATATAAGAACAATCTACCATATATTTGTTGCAATACTCGTAGTTTTTAGTCTTAATACCATCATCTTCGACTGGGTGGAACAAGGCAGGTAAGCCACGGACATGTTTACTGCGCTATTGTAAAATACCTTTATAACCAACTCCAAGGGACCACTGAAATTAGTTCGTTATATCCGTAGTTCGCTATTCACTTTTTTATATGATAATATAACTTTTATTCAGGACATTTAAAACAGTTCGCTAAAGCTGTCAGTTCGTTATTTCCGTGTTCGTTATAAAAGTATTCTACTGTATTTTATGATGTGAAGTTTTCGGAACAAAGGTCAGGGAGAAAATTGAAATACTTTTTGGGTATAACAGTTTACTTCGAAACCTGAATAGAATATGTTCGCCAAACCCTCTACTGGTCAGATGCAACCAAAGGGATCTAGTGGTCAGTTTTAGTTGGTTGATTTCATCATTTCTGATGTCACAGGTCATTTCTCATGTCATCAGTCACTTGATTATCTGATTCATACAACTGGAATATTTCCATGTGTGAAGCAAAACAACAAACATTAAAAATATACATCTTCTCATCTCCCCTCCCTCTCGCTCTTTTTCCAAATTCACTCTCTCCATTAACCCATCAAGATCCAGGTCAGAATTGATCTTCAGCAATCCATGCTTCTCATAAGAGGCGACTAACGGGATTGGGTGGTCAGACTCACTGACTTGGTTGACACATGTCTGTCAAAATCATATCTGACCGTACTCACTACTTAAATTCGGAATACAACCTCCTCCCTTCAGGCCGCCGCTACAAAGTTCCAATTGTGAAAACTAAGAGAGCCCGTACATCCTTTATTCCAAGTACCATATCTCTCTTAAACAAATTTGAAGATACCTAAATCAAAGAATTTATGTAAATATGTTTGGTATCTCTCTAATGTGTCAGTAGCCCTGCAGATGTAACACAAATTCATGAAAAGGCATTGAAGTATTATTCTATTTTATTCTATCCCAATTGCATATATCAATGCTCATGCTGTTGATCACTGGATTGTCTGGTCCAGGCTTGATTATTTACGGGGCGGTGGGGTAGCCTAGTGGTTAAAGCGTTGGCTTGGTTCGAATCCCCACATGGGTACAATGTGTGAAGCCCATTTCTGGTGTCCTTGCCGTGATATTGCTGGAATATTGCTAAAAGCGGCGTTAAACTATACTCACTCACTCACTTGATAATTTACAACCTTCATATAGCTGGAATGTTGCTGGAATGTTGCTGAGTGCTGTGTTGAACAAACAAACAAACAGACACTCTCTCCATTATAGTCATATTATCACAGTTTTTTCTGCATTGTTTTCGACAGGCTCGTCCTTGACTTTGACCTCATACAATGGGGCCTTGGCAAGTTGCCCAAGGTCATGGCGTTGTGGGTGTGCATGAAGTTGAGTACGCTGCTGGTGGTGTACCCCGCCTTCTACTACTGGTCAAACAATCGAGTCCCTGGCAAACCACGTGAGTCGCACTACAGGGAGATAACTCCTCCACTTGCACCTTCTTGAGACTGTTATCTTAAGCAGTGACCTCATATTGGTATATGTTCTCTGTCTGGTGATTGAAAGTGATAACATAATTATGTGACAAATCCTTTTCGAAATGTTTCACAGTTTGTGAATCTGTTGACCCATAAGTTTTTTACATTTGCCATTTATCTTAAAGTTTATTTCACACTTTTCCTTGCCTTTTAAGTCTATTAATTAAGATCAAGACTTCTAATTATTTTCTTTTGATCTACTTGGCAGTGTCTTAACGTGATCATATAAACCTGAAGGGTGCTTCTCACTATATATTAGACATGGCTTCTTTTCCCGGAATTACCGCATTTTAGGTTTTTGTTTGCTCCCAGGTTTCCCCGTTTTACTTTTTGTAAGTAAGACTTCTTCCCAGGTTTTACTTTTCGTATGTAAGACCTATTTCCCAGTTTTACTTTTTGTAAGTAAGACTTCTTCCCAGGTTTTACTTTTTCCTAACTCTATATTAACATCAACATTCAAATTCAGATGATATGTTAGTGTTTGAAATCAATTGAAAAATATCGTCAAAGATCAACTTAAATGTGCAAATGTTTTCCCTAGCAGGATTGGAACTGTATATTTCACAACCACCGGGCCGACAAAGAACGAGGGTTGAATTATCTATTTATAGTTAGGCCTACTGTCATTCAATTGATTTTACTAGTGCTTCGGTTACTGTTATGTAGCTTCATTACATGATCATCTAATTATCCATCATTGACGGTTTATATGTATAATAAAGCACTCCTCCTCGGTTATGGTTGGGAAAGTAAGCCCTCGACCATCGGGTGGAGAGAAGTAAGACCTCGGAGTCATGCTTTATCCTACACATATAAAATAATTTTGAAAATGTTTTTCTAGCCTGTACAGTGAAACATTGCACCTGGTCTATGTTATACATGTGATTACTGATGTCAGTTCACACCCTGACAGGGTGTAATCACCTTTCTGCTGACAGGATATTATTAACCCAAGTGAAATATAGTTGGGATACTTTTTGCCTTCATTATGATAATATAGAAAATCAGCCATTTCCGACCACATCAAAGCAAGCCCCAATCATCAAATAGAGTGGTCTGACATCACCATTCTCTCTAACAAACAAACAGACTTCACTAAACGCCAAGCTCACCGAAGCCATCCACATCAAACGCCAAAAGCCCACCATCAACCGAGACCAAGGATACTTCATTCCATCCGCTTATGATGCACTCATCCACCAAGCCCAATCTACTGTATAAACTCTGCTGTATAAACATCTCATTATTATTTGTACATCATTGGCTTCCACGCCTGTCCTTTGTCTACTCTCTGGCTTCATCAGCTTTCTGCCTAGCCAATTATGTTAATTATGTTGTTTTCTTTGTTACATTGTTACATCCAGTATATATACACTTCCCCCTTCTTCATGTTCCATTATGCTTGACAACGGTACAAGAATCTGTATCGAAACGTCGCACTCACGAATAAAAAGAAGTTGTTATCCATAAAGTTTGTTCTATATTGTACTTCCCAACTTCTAAAATGCCACTCAAAGAAGTTCATTATGATAGTCGAAGGAGAGATAATTTTGAGAACGTCTCAGTTGTCTCCCCTTGATTGTCACCAGGAAGTAGTGTATAATACATATTGACTAATAATGATAAGTATGTAAGACTTCCAGTTGATATGATGATAAGAGACTACTGGAGTAGGTTGTGGTCTTTTTACAGTGTCATATTTCTCTCCTCCAACCATTTAGCATTTGTGAATTGTTTTAAAGGCATAACTTCTTTTTTTTTCCTTTAACACAATAGATGTCTTGTAAATACATTGATTCTTGAAGTATTGTTTGTTTGGTATATTTTGTAACCAGAGCAACAAGTAATGTTCTTGCTTGTGATTGGATAACACTGAGCATCATGGTCACTCGATGGGAAGAGCACCCCTACCAATATCACAATATCTGGAGCTTTTCTGATTGGAATTTGCCCAGATCTTTAATTCATGATCTCTTGGCAGTTCATAGCAGAGACTGACCGCCTCCGTGGTGTAGTGGTTAGAGCGTCGTCCGGAGAGCGGAAGGTCATGGGTTCGATCCCCCGACAGCCATACCAAAAGACGTTTAAATATGGTATTTGTTGGTCCCTGTCCTGCGCTGTTAATGGGTATTAACAAGGACTGGTCGGCTCGGATTCAGTATAATGTGTCTGAGTGGGGTATTCATGTTTCACTGCGGCATGGTATCTTAGTGGGCTAGCACTATAAAACCAGCTTCAGTCTGGGCTAGTACAAGCAGCCGCACATACACATACACATACACACGCTTGCACGTCGTCATATGAGCGAAATATTCTCAAGCACGACGTTAAACCCAATTTCACCTCACCTCACCTCATAGCAGAGACTAGAGGTCAAGGTCATTAAACCAGCAGTGTTCATAACTGGTTCCAAGTTAGAGGCATACTGCTTTGGCCATGTGTTTTGTAGAACCAGAAGTGATATTGTTTAAGTTCATGACTGTTTATAAGATATTTTAAAGTAGTACTGCATCAGGCATATCTCACCTGATGTGGACAAAATGATTCATCATATATGTTTCTGATGGGAAATTTTAGAAGCATTCAGGAAATGTTTGGAGTAGGACTCCTTCTGTTTTTACCTGTTAAATAACACCTGTGTATTTGACCTGTTGTTTCAGGTTTGATGGACTACATTTGGCTGGTGTTGTACATCCTGTACGAGTGCCTGTTCCTGGTGTTGCCGATCAAATACGTCACAGAGAATGAACTGCCACCTGCATCAACCCTCATTATCGCCTGTGAACAGGTAAGTGTTGTTACTGATTACTGAATGAAGTACTGTAAATCATGAAATTAATGCGTCACGAATTTAATGCGAGTGCGAGAGTCTAGTCTAAAATGCGTCACGAAATTAATGCGAGCTCAGGAATCTGTGTTGATGATAAAATGTGACACCCTGAATCTTTGGTGTTGTTCTTTTCTTTTCACACTTGTTATTTACCAAATAACCTGAATTGAGCTTGTTAAGCAATGAATGGAAATGAGCTGACTATGTTTTGATTACACTGCCATGTTTGATCACGTGATTGCTTGCTACTACTTGTCTTATGACAACATTTAAAAATATAATCCGACTTCAAAGACACAAGTCATCTACCAAGGTACAACAAACAAGTGGCTGGAGAATGTCCGGTCTGGCTGATGTGCTTGAGTGACTTTAAACAATGACCAGTGATTGTAACCAGTGATAATTACATGTGGTTTGAGATACCTGTAATGAGGAAGTGACCTGTATTGGTGTAATGTGTAGTGTCAACAGATTTACGTTTTCTGTCTTTTATTAAGCAGACATGGTCAGACTGAAATGTGTCATTATAATAATGCGAGAAGAGTACAGGCACATTTTTCGCATTAATAAAATGCTCGCATTAATTTCATGATTTACAGTACTCAATGACGGACAACAGTTTATGTCATGGCATTAACCGAATACTGGCCAATGATTCAACCAATGACATCATGGTTCGATCAAGAACCAGGTCCCTCATTTTAACCACCTGGTTTTCTTTAGGAGTGGCTGTACGTGGGTTATGTGTGAAGCAGAAATACAATTGCCATAAAATATGACCACAAGTCAGGATTTAGTTATGGAAAGCAGTTAATTATGTGACCCCTATTAGACCATCCTGTGGTCAGACTACCTGACCTTCTGGATTTAAGGGACCTGTGAAGATCCGGGGTAGAATAGGTCTTCCGCAACCCATTCTTGTCATAAAAGGCGACTATGCTTGTCGTAAAAGGCAGCTAACGGGATCGGGTGGTCAGGCTCGCTGACTTGGTTGACACATGTCATCGGTTCCCAATTGTGCAGATCGATGCTCATGCTGTTGATCACTGGATTGTCTGGTCCAGACTCGTTTATTTACAGACCGCCGCCATATAGCTGGAATATTGCTGAGTACGGCGTAAAACTAAACTCACTCACTCACTCAGTATTTAAGGTTACGTTGAAGATTATTGCACCGTAGAGTGATGTTGGTTGTGTGCTTGAAGTAGTCAGGACTATTGCCAATGTTTGTCTCTGCGACGATTAACAGCTTGAAGACATGTCAGTGTATTTCTCTTCCCTGCAGCTACGCCTATGCATGAAGACCCACGCCTTTGTCCGTACCAATATGGTACGATTACTGAACCACAAGAAAGATGACAGCAAGGATTCTGAGGTAACATCTGAAGGTAATAGAGGTTGACTGTTCCACTAGTCCTTGTAATAGCTGACTGACTGAGTATTGACCAAGTTTATGTTTTCTCATAATCGCTTTCTAGCAATATTCCAGCAACAATATATTTAGGGGACATTTCCAAAATGCATGCCACACATTTGAATACCTCTATTTATGTTTTACATACTTGTCATCCTCGGATATGAAATTTTTGCCAAAAACCCTTTAATTAACAAAATAACCAGGAACATTTCAGGCTGCTAACCAATTATTTTCGATGATTTGTTGTAATAGAGGTACTGTACATTGGCTGGTATGTTCTCTGCAAATTTTCAACAATATCTTATTGAGTATATTCAGAACACATTCAGCTACCCCTAGTGATCAGATTAATGCTACCAGCTATATAAAATAATATAGGAATACATAAAAGCTGTCAAAAATGATGCTGCAAGTAGATTAAAGTCCCAGACATTGTAAAGTACATGTGTATTGCAGACTTTGAATGTGTGGAACTAATCTTAGAACTGTATTAGAATTGTGGAAAGAGTTCTCTGTCAAAAATCCCATATCTTTCAAAGAACAGATTGTCTCTAATGACTTTCGAGATCCCTTGAAATCTTGTAATTATACTCTAACAACAAACTACATGTGTGTAAATGTTTTCAGAAAGGCAAGTAGTTCAACTGTGTACGTTGTTTCAGGGGACGAGATGCCGACAAGTGATAGTCGGTGCCCGGGTTTCTCCAAGTATCTGTACTTCCTGTTTGCCCCCACCCTCATCTACAGGGACTCCTACCCCAGGTATGTGGTTCATGGGGGTCAAATGTGTGTTTCAGAACCCTCATTATCAGGGAGATTTGTAATGATCAGATTATTATCCCCCACCATGAAGTGAGGGGGATATAGGTTTGAGCTCCGGCCGTCCTTCCGGCCGTCCAAGATGATGGGGACAGATTTTCTCAGAAACCATTATAGATAGGGAAACCAAATTTGGTATGTGTTTTCAGGACACATATGCCTTGATGGAGTTCGAAAATGGAAACTGTGTTACAATTCTTTACAGAGTTACGGCCCTTGTCATGCATTTCTTGACTTGATGCACGTTAGATCAATGGGAACAGATTTTCTCAGTAACCGTTACAGATAGTTAAAACTTATTTGGTATGTGTATTCAGGACATGAATGTCGTAGTGGAGTTAAAAAGCAGGAACCGTGTGGTGGGGATATTGATGACCATGTCTACTTGTTAGATGGTGATTTAAGATGATCAATTTGTGTTTGAACGTGTTTCAGTTCAAACCCAATATTGGGTTATGATGATTAAGTCTGTGTTTTAAGGTGTTTCTGTTCCCACAGTATCAGGGAGATGATCAGATTATTAGATGGTGATTCAAGATGATCAATTTGTATTTGAATGTGTTTTAGAACTCACAGTATTCGATGGAAATACGTGGTGAGCAACTTCACACAGGTGCTGGCCTGTCTCATGTACACATACTACATCTTCGAGAGATTCTGCATCCCATATTTCCGGAAGTTCAACAAGGATCATGTCACCCCCAAGGCCCTGATGCTGTCAGCTTTTGGCTGCATGCTGCCTGGAACTCTGGTGCTGTTTATTGGTAAGGTGTGTTGCCAGGAGAACTGGTGCCATATATTGGTATGCCATGTTGCCAGGACAACTGATGCCATATTTTGGTATGCTATGTTGCCAGGACAACTGGTGCCATATATTGGTATGCTATGTTGCCAGGACAACTGGTGCCATATATTGGTATGCTATCTTGCCAGGAGAACTGGTGCCATATATTGGTATGCCATGTTGCCAGGACAACTGGTGCCATATATTGGTATGCTATGTTGCCAGGACAACTGGTGCCATATATTGGTATGCTATGTTGCCAGGACAACTGGTGCCATATTTTGGTATGCCATGTTGCCAGGACAACTGGTGCCATATTTTGGTATGCCATGTTGCCTGAAATACTGGTTGTATTTATTGGTAAGGTGTGAAGCCTATAACATTGGTATTATGTCATTGTATGGCATGTTGCCTGAAGGTGCCATGTTCTGTTCCAATCATGGTTACTTGGTATGAAACCATGTCTTTGTATTCTCCGCTGTGATACAGTCTGAGTATTGCCAGAAACAGTTGTAAACCCAAACACACTCAAGTTCCACAGCACGTGTTTGTTTCTTGTTTGGTGGCAAGCCTCTGTCATCCTGGCTCGGATTCAAGTACTGATCACCATGATATGGCTGCAATGCAGTGCTGGGGTGGGGTAGCCTAATGGTTAAAGGGTTAGTGTGGTTTATAACAACATTCAGTGACTGGCATTTGGCTGGGAAGTTGAGGTTGGGTGGTTGTTGCTCATAATAGTTTTCCCCTGGTTTGCATGATCTAAGTCATTTTCAGCCCACTATGACACAGCTAAATTATTGCTGACTCGCCTAAAACAACATGCACTCACTAGTTTCTGACTGACATGTCTTTCTTTCTCAGGTTTCTTTGCCATCCTGCACTCCTGGTTGAATGCATTTGCTGAGATGCTTCGCTTCGGGGACCGCCTCTTCTACAAGGACTGGTGGAACTCAACCACCTTCTCCAACTACTACCGCACCTGGAACGTCGTCGTACATGACTGGCTCTACACCTACATCTACAAGGACTTCTGCAGGGTAGGTACAGCTGGCCATGCATCCTATGGTAACAATGAATAACACTATTTGCTGCCCACAGTTACCGAGGCCGTACATCCCTACTGGAGTTGTGCATTAGGAGCTCTGTGGAGGTTTATAGTCAGAACAGGCCATGTAGTTACTGTCAGGGTTGTGGTGATGGTGGCCATGGTTCTCGGTAGTGATGGAGGACACTTCTGGGAGCCCCTTGGAGATGACAAGCACAAATACTTACTCAACCATTCGATCAAATAACCACACACTCCTCCACACACACACTCCCCTCACTCAATCTTGTAAGTTGCTTTATCACTTCAAGGCCGGACTACTGAATTCAGATTTTCTTTGGTCTCCCTCTTGATGAGATCGCTCTCGTCTCAGTACAGCACAGCAGCAGAACGGTGATGAAGAGACAGAGTACAATCATGTGACTCCCATGCTGCAGCATCTATATTGGCTGCTTATCATGCTCCGGTGCAAATACAAGATCGCAACACTTATGTTTCGCCATTTTGATGGTTCACTACCACCATACCTGTTCAGAGAGCTCTCTATTTACAAAGCGCTACAAACTCTCCCCTGTTCCAGTGAAACCGCCTCCGTGGTGTAGTGGTTAGAGCGTCCGCCCGGAGATCGGAAGGTCGCAGGTTCGATCCCCGACCGCGTCATACCAAAAGACGTTAAAATATGGTACTTGTTGGTCCCTGCCTGGCGCTCGGCATTAATGGGTACAACAAGGACTGGTCGGCTTGGAGTCAGTATAATGTGTCTGAGTGGGGTATTCATGCTTCACTGCGGCATGGTATCTCACTAATCTCAGTGAGCTGGCACTATAAAACCAGCTTAAGTCTGGGCTAGTACAAGCAGCCGCACATACACATACACACGCATGCACGTCGTCATATGAGCGAAATATTCTCAAGCACGACGTTAAACCCAATTTCACCTCACCTCACCTCTTCCAGTGAGAAAATGTTAAAAATCCCTAAGTACAACTTAAAGTCAGCAGGACAGTGCTCTCTCAAATACAGTGCGCCCTCCGTTTGAAATGCTCTCCCAAATGAACTCCGCAGTTCCCCTTCTCTAAGTTCATTCAAGACCGGTTTAAAAACATTCTGTTTTAAACAAACTTTCCTTTCAGAAAATCCTTTCGGAGATTAGCGCTATATAAATGCTATCCATTATTATTATTACTCAACCATCTACTAAAACACTCACCTATAAACAGTGTCATGATGTTCTGGACTATGTTGCAGTTGTTCGGCCACCAGAACCGAGCTGCAGCAATGGCCCTGGTGTTCCTCATCTCCGCCGTCTTCCATGAATATGTCCTCATCATCTCCTTCGGCTTCTTCTACCCAGTCCTCTTTGTCATGTTTGCTGGAGCAGGATGTGAGTAGGCCCGGAAACATCCAATGGCATTGCCTGAGTTAAAGATGATTAGTACAATCCTGGGTTAAAGATGATTAGTGTACTACCCGGGTTAAAGATAATTGGTAAACTGCCTGGGTTAGAGACGATTTGTGCACTGCCTGGATTAAAGATAATTTGTGCACAGCATGGATTAAAGGCGATTAGTGCACTGCATGGATTAAAGGCGATTTGTGCACTGGTTGGATTAAAGGCGATTAGTGCACTGCCATCAGTTAAAGACAATTAGTACACTGCTATCAGTTAAAGATGATCATACACTGTCTGTGTTAAAGACGAATAGTACACTGAGTTAAAGACGATTAGTACACTGTCTGGGTTAAAGACGAATGGTACACTGTCTGAGTTAAAGACGATTAGTACACTGTCTGAGTTAAAGACAAATGGTACATTGCCTGAGTTAAAGACAAATGGTACATTGCCTGAGTTAAAGATGACTGTCTACTGTGGTAAATACCTGCACTGCCTTTAAAGATCAAGTTAAGATGCAAAGTGCACTGCTTTTGAAACTAACAAGCTTTGAATATCTGCAATACTGCTGATGTGTCTTTAAGCAATATTTACTCACTCACTCACTTAATAAAGTAGGCGGTCATTAAAAGATGTGTACTTACCCTTAACCATTCTGTTAAAGATGACTATGGAGGATTCTCTGAAATTTTATCCTTTCAACATTCTGTCAGTTTGGTCATGATGAAAAGAAACCTTAACTTTGTTGCAGTTGGTTTTATTTTCCTGACGGACAAGGGGTCATCTCGGAGCTGGAATGTGTTTCTGTGGGTAGCGCTGTTCATTGGCAATGGTCTGCTGATGTGTCTGTACAGCATGGAGTGGTATGCCAGGAAAAACTGCCCTGTCAACTCAGTAAGTACACGTCTGCTGTCCTGTCAACTCTGTAATTACACGTCTGCTGCCCTGTCAACTCAGTAAGTACACATCTACTGTCCTGTCAACTCTGTAATTACACGTCTACTGTCCTGTCAACTCAGTAAGTACTCATCTACTGCCCTGTCAACTCTGTAAGTACACATCTTCTGCCCTGTCAACTCAGTATGTACATGTCTACTGTCCTGTCAACTCAGTAAGTACACATCTACTGTCCTGTCAACTCAGTAAGTACACATCTGCTGCCCTGTCAACTCAGTAAGTACACGTCTGCTGCCCTGTCAACTCAGTAAGTACACGTCTGCTGCCCTGTCAACTCAGTAAGTACACGTCTGCTGCCCTGTCAACTCAGTAAGTACACGTCTACTGCCCTGTCAACTCAGTAAGTACACATCTACTGCCCTGTCAACTCAGTAAGTACTCATCTACTGTCCTGTCAACTCAGTAAGTACACGTCTGCTGCCCTGTCAACTCTGTAATAACATGTCTGCTGCCCTGTCAACTCAGTAAGTACACATCTACTGCCCTGTCAACTCTGTAATTACACTCATCTACTGTCCTGTCAACTCAGTAAGTACACATCTACTGTCCTGTCAACTCTGTAATAACACGTCTACTGCCCTGTCAACTCAGTAAGTACACATCTACTGTCCTGTCAACTCAGTAAGTACACATCTACTGTCCTGTCAACTCTGTAATAACATGTCTGCTGCCCTGTCAACTCAGTAAGTACACATCTACTGTCCTGTCAACTCAGTAAGTACACATCTACTGTCCTGTCAACTCTGTAATAACGCTGCCCTGTCAACTCTGTAATTACACGCCTACTGTCCTGTCAACTCAGTAAGTACACATCTACTGCCCTGTCAACTCAGTAAGTACTCATCTACTGTCCCTGTCAACTCTGTAAGTACTCATCTACTGTCCCTGTCAACTCAGTAAATACTCATCTACTGCCCTCCAGTCAACTGCCCTGTCAACTCAGTAAGTACACGTCTGCTGCCCTGTCAACTCAGTAAGTACACATCTACTGTCCTGTCAACTCTGTAAGTACACGCCTGCTGTCAACTCAGTAAGTACACATCTGCTGCCCTGTCAACTCTGTAATTACTCTACTGCCCTGTCAACTCAGTAAGTACTCATCTACTGCCCTGTCAACTCAGTAAGTACTGCCCTGTCAACTCAGTAAGTACTCATCTACTGCCCTGTCAACTCTGTAAGTACATCGCCTACTGCCCTGTCAACTCAGTAAGTACACATCTACTGCCCTGTCAACTCTGTAAGTACACGCTTTTCTGCCTTGTCAACTCAGTAAGTACACATCTACTGCCCTGTCAACTCTGTAAGTACACATCTACTGCCCTGTCAACTCAGTAAGTACACATCTACTGCCCTGTCAACTCAGTAAGTACACATCTACTGCCCTGTCAACTCTGTAAGTACACATCTACTGCCCTGTCAACTCAGTAAAGTACACATCTACTGCCCTGTCAACTCTGTAAGTACACGTTTTCTGCCCTGTCAACTCAGTAAGTACACATCTACTGCCCTGTCAACTCAGTAAGTACACATCTACTGCCCTGTCAACTCTGTAAGTACACATCTACTGCCCTGTCAACTCTGTAAGTACACATCTACTGCCCTGTCAACTCTGTAAGTACACGTCTACTGCCCTGTCAACTCAGTAAGTACACATCTACTGCCCTGTCAACTCTGTAAGTACACGTCTGCTGCCTTGTCAACTCTGTAATTACACGTCTACTGTCCTGTCAACTCAGTAAGTACACATCTGCTGCCCTGTCAACTCAGTAAGTACACATCTACTGCCCTGTCAACTCAGTAAGTACACATCTACTGCCCTGTCAACTCAGTAAGTACACATCTACTGCCCTGTCAACTCTGTAAGTACACATCTACTGCCCTGTCAACTCAGTAAGTACACATCTACTGCCCTGTCAACTCAGCAAGTACACATCTACTGCCCTGTCAACTCTGTAAGTACACGTCTTCTGCCCTGTCAACTCAGTAAGTACACATCTACTGCCCTGTCAACTCAGTAAGTACACATCTACTGCCCTGTCAACTCTGTAAGTACACATCTACTGCCCTGTCAACTCAGTAAGTACACATCTACTGCCCTGTCAACTCTGTAAGTACACGTCTACTGCCCTGTCAACTCAGTAAGTACACATCTACTGCCCTGTCAACTCTGTAAGTACACATCTACTGCCCTGTCAACTCAGTAAGTACTCATCTACTGCCCTGTCAACTCTGTAAGTACACGTCTACTGCCCTGTCAACTCAGTAAGTACATGTCTGCTGCCCTGTCAACACTGTAAGTACACGTCTGCTGCCCTGTCAACACTGTAAGTACACATCTACTGCCCTGTCAACTCAGTAAGTACTCATCTACTGCCCTGTCAACTCTGTAGTACACGTCTGCTGCTCTGTCAACTCAGTAAGTACACGTCTGCTGCCCTGTCAACTCAGTAAGTACACATCTACTGCCCTGTCAACTCAGTAAGTACTCATCTACTGCCCTGTCAACTCAGTAAGTACTCATCTACTGCCCTGTCAACTCTGTAAGTACACATCTACTGCCCTGTCAACTCAGTAAGTACACATCTACTGCCCTGTCAACTCTGTAAGTACACATCTACTGCCCTGTCAACTCAGTAAGTACACATCTACTGCCCTGTCAACTCTGTAAGTACACATCTACTGCCCTGTCAACTCAGTAAGTACACATCTACTGCCCTGTCAACTCTGTAAGTACACATCTACTGCCCTGTCAACTCAGTAAGTACACGTCTACTGCCCTGTCAACTCAATAAGTACACATCTACTGCCCTGTCAACTCAGTAAGTACACGTCTACTGCCCTGTCAACTCAATAAGTACATGTCTCTGCCCTGTCAAATCATAGTTGCGGCAGGTGCACCCAAATGAATCACATGGCTTGGTTTTCTGTCACTGTACTCTCTAGTATGGATCTATATTTACAGGATGCTGTTATGTAGGTGAATTATGGCTGAGTGAAGTGTTACACAATATACTGAGTAGGACTTTGTGAAGGCACAATGTGACTTGTAGTGTTCGTTGTTGTTTCAGGATAGTTTCGTCGACTACTTGATCCCAAGGTCATGGACGTGCATGATATGAGTATCGTCCGCACAAGAGGCGCAGCTTCATCAGCGCAATGTGTCGACGACATTCACATCATCATCAACGTGTCCCTCAACGAACCCCCATCCCATTGTAATACAATATTGCTCATTGATGCCTATATTGATGTTTTGACAAGATGTCAGACCGTACCTTTGTGATAGAAACATTCATTTCAATCAAGTCTTTCTTGCCGGAATCAACATGTTTGTCTCAGTCATGTTCATGTGATTGTTTTGTCATTATCAATGTGATTGTATCATAACATCATAATTCACTGTGTAAATACCTTGTCTTAATTATTTATGTCACAGATTTTAGTTTACAAGAATTAGGTCATCAAAATGTGACATTTTTTTTCATTAATCATTCATCATTAAACACTGGGCACAGGCTGCTCAGTTGTCTTCGGCAAAACAACTGGCTGTGCAGAGATGTGTCCTTGGTTTCCAGAAACTTAGCGTCGTTGGTTCCAATCACAGTGCACCGTTTTTGTGTTTCAAATGTCAGCTCGATATCTGTTCTGTGGGTTACACCAACTGGTAAACAAATAAACCTACTTCACCTCGGTCTTTTGTCCAGCATTAAGCTGACTTGCCGTGATATAACTGGAATACACTTTAAAGTGGCAAAAGCACAATCACACACTCACTCACTCACTCACTCACTCTCACGCACTGATTAATGTCAGCTCCTTGTAAAATGGTGGTGGGGTAGCCTAGTGGTTAAGACGTTCGCTCGTCACGCCGTTGACCCAGGGTCAATTCCCCACATGGGTACAATGTGTGAAGCCCATTTCTGGTGTTCCCCGCCATGATATTGCTTGAATATTGCTAAAAGCGGCGTAAAACCATATTCACTCACTCACTCACTCACTCACTCACTCACTCACTCACTCACTCACTCACTCACTCCTTGTAAATATCAATTCACATCTACTTTCATACATTTACCAACAAGGGCATTTTTATTGTGATCACAATGTTTAATATGTTTCAGGAATATATTGATTATTTTCTTTTAATCCAATGGGTTGGAGTTGAAATGAAAGTAATTGCAAATATATATTTGTTTTAACATTAAAACATTCATATAACCTATCTTGATTGGAATTGAAGTTCAAAGATTCTCCAGATTTATTCAAATGTTAGTCAGAAGACCCATCATTCACACAGAAAGATGTTCCTATAGGCACATAAATTGAATACTTCAGTTCGTGTATGAAACTTGGCCAGTAGATAATGGGATCACTTGTCATCTGTCTACCAATGCTGTGTGTCCATCTATCATCCAGACCTGATATTGTCACAATTTGAGAAACCTTAACACAGTTACTTCATACAAGTTCAAGTCCTAAATTAACCTCTTGTATGGGGCGGTGGGGTAGCCTAGTGGTTAAAGCGTTCGCTTGTCACACCGAAGACCCGGGTTCGATTCCCCACATGGGTACAATGTGTGAAGCCAATTTCTGGTGTCCCCTGCCATGATATTGCTGGAATATTTTAAAGCGGCATTAAACCATACTCACTCACTCACTCACTCACCTCTTGTATTGACAGTGTTGCTATTAATTGACTTAGAATAAAAACCAGATTCGTCGAGAACAAACTGGCTGTGTATTTAACATACTTCAGTAGACAGTCCATTATCTATTACCTCCCCTTACCTGCAAGACTTAAGTACATCAATTAAGAATGTGTTGATTAACGTTAAATTTCCTTGTAAATTTATGCAAGTAGTAACTTTAAAAAATGTTGAGTTAGTTTGATGTTCTGAAAATTAGTCTTGTGATGTATGCATTTCATTATTTATGTTATATATGTCATGTTTTGTGGTTTTATGCAGATATTCAAAAGGGCAGGGGATGACTTGTCATCTTGGTATTATTGCATTTGTGTTTTTAGGATTTCTGTGGTATTGTCACCTGAATGAACATAAAGAACATCAACAATGGATGCTGTGGTTTTATTTGATATTTACTCAGTTGATTTCAATTGATTCTGTTGGTAATAGTTCCATTCCATGCTCTTCACATCAGTGAGTCATAATATTCATCAAGTGCAATGTCATCTCACTGCTGAAAAACAAACTGAAGACAATCCTTGACCTGCCCTTGACCTACCCTTGATCTACCCTTGACCTGCCCTTGACCTACCCTCGACCTGCCCATCACCTACTCTTCACCTGCCCCCAACCTGCCTTCACCTGCCCTTCACCTACCCTTCGCCTGTCCCTAGCCTGTCCCCAACCTGCCCTTCACCTACCCTTTGCCTGTCCCCAACCTGCCCTTGACCTACCCTTCACCTTCCCCAGATCTGGTCAATACTTACCTTTGACCCAACCCTTGACCTAGACCTGACCTTGACCTACCCTTCCCCTACCCTCGACCTGCCCTTCACCTACTCTTCACCTGTCCCCAACCTGCCCTTGACCTACCCTTCACCTTCCCCAGATCTGTTCAATACTTACCTTTGACCCAACCCTTGACCTAGACCTGACCTTGACCCACTCATGCCCGTCCCCTATTCAGAATACGTGTATTTAAAGTCAGGAATATATTTTTCTGGTTGCTGTTGTTTTTTTCTAACAATAAGACCAGACTATATCACCCAAACGACCACTCCAGAAATAAACTTAGTCCGAGCTCCATGTGTGTATAGCGTGTGATATCCTCCATGCAGCTGATATATGTGTCATGTTACTGTGTATATAGAACTGTGTATATAGAACTGTGTGTATAGAACTGATACAATGTCAGTTTGTACTGACCGTGTGTGGTATATGATGACATTAATTGTGTCTACATATGCATGGATAGTCAGGTACCTTGTATAGTATAATCTATATATCATGTTGTATTGCAGCATGCAGTATAATGCATAAAGCCCACTTTCATGACTAATAGAAAACAAAGGCATTTCTTTATGCAATATTTGTGTCTACATGTGACCACACCAGTATTTCTACAAACAGTCCTAGTTTTGGTACAAGCATTTAATGAACTCTCCACTTTATGGGATCAAGAACAAGTAAGTGGGAACAATGATGCTCTTGTAATGACTCATCTCTGTTCTATTAATAGACCTTCTTAGCTACAGTGTTTCCGTTGTAATAAGGAATTAAAAGTGTATTTGCAACCCTATGGTGAACATAATACCTTTATTCAAATTGTTGAAGGTTAAGAAAAAATTTAGTCTGAAATACAGACCCTGAAACAAACATATCCAAGAAAGCCCACGCAAGTCTAGATTATGTGGCAAGTCTAGATTTCCATAGTTCTGAAAATGAAGAAAGTCTCAGGGCTCCTTTTCGTTATATTTTGGTTTTTATTACAAACTGGGTTTTTTCTATACAATATGTTAGTTGATAGTCTAGAAACAATTTTGCTTGTGATCTTACTTTAGAAACCATGTGTGCAGGAATCTTACCAAGTCACGACTAGCCATTTCACACAAGCTTGCAGACACTGTTTCCTTGAGGTAATTTAGATAATGTTGCTTTTTAATGCAGCTATTTGTGGTTAGAAAATCAATTATTTCCTTTCAAAACAAATGTATAGTAAAAGCGATGACGGAATCACTAAAACTTCAGTCCATTATCACAGTAAACAGTAAAAAACTGACATTCCACAGAGCCAGGCTGTTGACAACAGAGACAGGGATTCGTCATGTCCAACGTGATAGTTGCATTGGTTATAGGTCCAGGGTGTTTGACCTAATGGAGTGGTGACATAATACCTGGATTATCGGAGATGATGAAGACTTTCAGCAATAGGGATGTTTCTGTTTTAAGAGACGTGCATTTTTGTCGTTACTATTCTAGGGCTTATGTAGATAACACATTGATGTTTGTGTAAAGGTTGCTTAATTTGTCCATTATTTGTCAACAAATGTTCAATCTCTCTCTAAACACTCTTCAATCTTTGATAAATTTATATATTTTTGATGTAGTTAATTTTTGTGATAATTTTAGACATACATTTTCTATGCATATCTAGGAAAGTCATGCTCAAGTTGATTCTAGTCAGTCCCAAGACTTTCTTTGTCTACAAATTTATATCTGTCAAAGTTCAAATTATGAATTAATCTGCAATTATATGTAGAATATTATATATCAACAGAATTAATGTTGTACACGTCCTGTTGCTGTATCAGCGAGCATCCTAAGACCAACTTCGAGACCAATCACTAGGCACTGAATCTATAAGCGCCCCTACTGAAAATTGATTTTTACATCTATATTTCTTGTGTATGTTACTGAGTTTTTTTATGAAAACGACCTGGAACAGGAACAGGAACATGATTGTAAGTGTCAATCATGTTGGAGCTAAGTTTGTTTGCTAACTTACGATTTCAGAAAACAAATCAAACAGGCACATATATTTAATATTTAATACCCAACCCTGTCAGTCCTCTAAACCTCCATATATTACTATGCACGATTACTATGGAATTTTATTACTGAGTGTGGCATTACATAACATCAGACACACATATAATATGCCAAATTTGTGGGAAGAATTTCAAACTACGAAGATAGTTTGTGTACAATTTAACCCGAGATGTTCCAGGGTGGTCTTCCTTGCCAGTTGGCGCCAATCACAGGTTTCAAATCCCAGACTATCAGCACAGTTCAAGCCTAACTCAGAAAACATCATCTGTAAATGCTGTGGCCGTGTTTGCGCTTCTGTTGTGGAAGTAATATTGTATGTGTAAATAAGATATACAGCTCACAAGATGGCCAAGAATAACTTATTCTTTCATATGGCGAGAGATTATCTGTCATAATGGTAAACTCTAGCAGTAGGAAAGAATTGGGTGATCTCTACCTTCTCTGGAGTAGTACCAGTATCATATTGGTCTGTTGGTGACGTGTGTCAACAATGATTGTGTGTAACTCATACCAAAGACTGTTCTCGTCCTAATCTTGTAAAGTGATTTACTTCTTGTATCAGTCTCGGAGCCCTGTATTATTTATACTTTGTCAATTTACAAATTGTACTGCATTGAGTGGAATTTGTTGTGTTTTTTTGTGTCTTATCACCTTGTAAGCATTTAAAGAAGCATTTATTTTCAAATGCCAAAATTTTTAGCAAAACATAATAATTTCATGCTCTGCTTTTGCTCACAGAAATATTCTTATTAAAGTTTAATTGATGCTGACATCATATCTTTAATGACTTAGGGATATGTTGTCATTAGTGTTTGTAAATTCAGGAGTTCAAGTATTCTGTAAGTTTTAAATTTGTTTACATGTATTTCAGAAAACATTGGGGCCGGTGGGGTAGCCTAGTGGTTAAAGCGTTGGCTCGTCACGCCGAAAACCCGGGTTCGAATCCCCACATGGGTACAATGTGTGAAGCCCATTTCTGGTGTCCCCCGCCGTGATGTTGCTGGAATATTGCTAAAAGCGGCGTAAAACCAAACTCAGTCAGTCAGTCAGAAAACATTCAATTTGATAAGCACAAGGATAAGATTGTCTCTCTAATGTTGAACATAGCAGCAGTTGGGGTCAACCTGAACCTTGATATTATTGAACAAATAATTACTTGTAGGGAGACCATGGATT